GGATGATCAAAGGTACAGAATGACCTCTATAAGTCAGCTAGGACTCTTTGGAAAAAGGCACTTGAAGGAGGAAGTGATAGCGGCTCATAAAATGATGAATGGAGTGGATGGAGTGGATAGGAATCAATTCTTCATTGCCCTCACATTATAAAAACTAAAAAGTATTAAATGAAGCTAGTCAGGTGCATGGTAGTAATCAACAAAAGGAGATGATTCTTCACCTGATGAGTTGTAGAAGTCCTTATTGCTGGATGTTCTACTCGTTAAAAGTTTGAATGAGTTGAAAGGGAGTCTGGACAAGTTCATACATAAGAAATCCATTGTTGAGAACTAAGTGTGCAAAATTTGCATTCAGCTCAGGAAAGCTCTTTTATCAAAAAATAACGTTCTGGGGAAATACCCCGAATACTTGTCCTTTGGTCCATACTAAGCCCACTTTCAGGTACAAGATGCAGAACTAGAATTTGCATTGGTCTGACCCACAAAGGCTGCTTTTATCTTAATCTATATTTTTATTCTAACCCAAGTCTTTTAATAAATTTTAGCTAGGTGACACCCCCTTACTAACAGGCATTATATGCACTTCCCTTCTTGGGTAGGGTTTATTTTTTTGCCAGGGTGGGCAAAATCCAAGGAAACATCTCCTGATGTTTGAGCTTTACTTTTTTAATAACTACATTAAATACATAACTTTGATTACTTAATAGTGTAGGTGACAGCTCTGGACTTACTGTCTACATGATAGTTTTTATTAACAAACGATGACCTGATCTAGCCAGTCCTGTTGGAACAACTTTGTGAAACAATAATATAGAAATGCAGAGGGCAGCAGCATATGTGGATCACAGAACAGTAGGATAAGGAAATTTGTGCTTCATCTGGTTAAGTAATTTTTTTCCGGAGTCATAATGCTACTGTTCAGACCCATTTTTACTTTGATTTTAGTATCTTTTTGTTTCCACTTTTCATTACCATCATCTTAAAAAGACCTTAAACTCTCCCTGCAAAGGTTTCCCTGAGACCAAATATTCTTTAGAGAAATAAGCCTCAATATGGGAAATAGGGAGGATTCTGAATTCTCAGTTCAGCTTTATGACTAATTCATGTGACTTTGAACAAATCATGTAGATATCTGTGCTATCTCTAAATTGAAGGTAACAGCAGCCTTATAGGAATGCTTTTAAAGTATGTTTAAATTATGATTTATTAGCATTTCTGAAATACTGCTTTAGGGATGGAAAAACATGCTGATGAATCTTGGGTGTGAAGAACTAGTTATATTTTGTGGTTGGCTTGAAGTGATCTCTCCACAGATCGGAGTACATGGGATGAAGTGTAGTCTGTGTGCACATGGGGTTTATTCTTGCTACATATTTCTCATGGTGCTTCATGAAGAGCAAATGTCTATTTTCACCTAGCTGTACAAGAAAGCCTGTTTAAGGCTCCTGCAGAAGAACTCAGTAGGGGTGACATTGTTTATTTGATATGCATAACAGTTTACTTTGGACCCTACCAAGGAGGGGCTGGCCCCCTCTGACCTGCCTGCCTGGCAGGTGCTGTATCTCCTGCAGCATGGTCCCCCTAAATGTGGCTGTGAGAATGCTCGAAGTTACTTTGCTGCAGGAACTGCAGTGCAGCCAGGAGGAAGGTGGGGATGTAGGAATCGTTTAGACATACATTTGAGATGTTGCCAAATTGTGCAGTGAAATCTGGGCTCTGGGAAGCTCTGTATTTTTACAGGTGAGACATACACTAGGGATCGAGATAAATAACAGATGATTCAAACAGTCCCTGCCCTAAAGAGCTTCTGAGTGTTGCAAGCTGAACGGAAATAAGGCGTTTCTCTGGAATAGGCAGAAGTTACTTCCTTTGCCTACATGGTTCTAACAGTTTTCTTCCTTACAGATATTTTCTGTGAAAGCCTAAAGTCAGAGAACTTGTGTAGCAAAGTAAGTTTTTTCCCGTCCCGAGTAATGAAGTCACACATATTTATAGCACTGTCTTCTAAGAACCCCAAGTAGGAATTAATAATTACAGAGGGGGAGGATACTCATTTTACTGAGGAAATGGAGCCATGGTGAATTAAAGGGAATTTCCCAGAATCACAGGAAACAATGTAGAGCTAGAAATGGATTCAATTCGGTTCACTGTTTCAGTCACAGGACCATCCTTTTCCGAGTACGAGATACGTACACAATGCTCTCCAGTTTAGTCTTCACATTAGTTTCCAGTGCTACAATTCAGTTCCTCTGAACTTTGCCCTTTCACTCGTTTTAGCAAAAAGGCAAACATCTGCCCATTTGTCTCAATAGTAAGTAGAAACTGCTTGCTATACAGATGACGATTTCCTCTCCATTCACATGCTTCTAATCCTAGTATTGGAAGGCCAGCCTGTGTCAGCCAGGGCCTGTTTAAATTAGAAACCAAATAATGTTTCAGGGATGCCTTGGGCTGTCTTGTGGAGAGGGCTCTTCTCAACCCTTGCCAGTTACTACTTGGTGGTCCTGCCAATCCTTGCTAAGTTTCAAAACAAAAGTTGCTCAAGCTCGAACAGCGCTGTTAGCCCAGCATACGCAGCTGGACGGCTGGTGAGCTGGGACGCAGCGAGGCCCAGTGCTTAACCAGGCACAATTCACCACACCATGTAAAGGGACTGGGGAGTGGCACTGTCCTAATTGTTAACATTCCTCCTCTGCAAGACTTCTCCTGATATTTATTTAATAAGCCCAGGATCATAAAATCTCAACGATTTAAGCAGTCAAGTGGTAGCTGATGTGTATATGGAGATGACATGCAGCCAGACTAAGTGAAGGGTGAAATGCTTGATTTCGGACTTTGCAAAGCTTTATCTGGCCATTGCAGATGAAGTAATACCTCAGGCATCTGTGTCCAGGAGTGCGGTATACACTGTGAGTACCTCAGGAACTGTACTTCGGGCCAGGTTTGCACAGCCACAGCTCCTATTTAAGTGTGCATGACCAGTGTGCTGGCATAGTCTTCTCAGTCAGTGTAGAGAAGTTTCTGCTGCTGCCAGTGAGTAATATTCATGAACTCCAGTCTGATGTCTTCTGCCAATGGATACAAAAGTCAGGGATGTGGTATTGCTCTGTTCTCTGAGGGGTGAAAGGCAGGTTCAGCAGAACTGGGTGAAACATGCCAGCACTTCCACATCCCAGCAACAGATGTTTGTAAATAGTAACGCCTTCACATGTAGAAAGGAGGTGTGGAGGTTTGTGCTTTCTCTTCTTTGGAGCTGTTGCTGAGTATTTAGCATTAAATGGGTGAAAGAAAGGCATCACTACATTCATTAGCATTTCATTCAGAATCATTTTCAGCTTGTAATGGAGCAGGGACATACGGTGATTGGACGTTAAACACGGGACCAAGAGGCCTAAGGTTCAAATTGGAAATCGGACTGCTTGGAGTGGACATGGGGCAAAGGAAGAAAAATGAATTTTGGTGAACCTGATCTTCAGGGAAAGTCAGGCACTAGGAGATGGTTTTTATTCAAAAGAAGGAACACCAAAATGTGTGATGTTCCTGTATTTTCTCAAGAAAAAATAAAAGAAGCTTTATCTCTATTTCAGCTCATCTTTAAAATGCACAAAGGGAAAGCAGTGCAGAAAGGGAGAGTCCTTTTGCTGATTGTACTTTCTGTGTTCTCTCATTAACGGTCTTTTTCTTGGGAGTGGTCATTTACCATGTTTGATTCAAAGAGATCCAGTCTGCATAGTTTTGGAGTAACTTTGTTAATGTTCTTTTGGTAATGTCTGGTTATCAGCCTGAGGCTTATTGGCTTTAAATGCATTGTGAGCTGAGTAAATTGGTTGTTAGTGCATTTGCAAACAGTTCAGCCTGATTATATTGATCTAAGCACCAATTTTACAGCTTTGCCTGTGGTGCCATTACAGAAATTGAGGAGGAAGCAGGCAGGCACCCTGCACATACCTCTCTCTTAGCATGGTGATTTACTGCCTCTGTCTGCTGCCTTTTACAGCTGTGTGCTGGCTAATGTCCCTGTCTTGCTGGTTAGTTTGTTTCAGTCCTCTGATGCTACATCCTTAAGTGTGGAATCTGAATCTGACTTCGCCACCAGACACCAGGACTATGGCTTTTCTAAAGTACTTCTCCCATCTTGCCTGTGGTTACCTTGTCTTATAAAAAATAGTAGGGGTCACAGTAGGTGGACACGGATGCTTTCCTTTTGACTTTTTTTTTTTACTAGCCTGTGTTCTTTGACCATTTTCCAAGGCTTCTCTTGTGTATGTTTTGACATGGCTTGATGGCTGAAAGCATTACTGTAAATTATTGGTTTTGACAGTTACATAGTGATATTCCACCCTCCCATAGTATCCTCTGACCTGCTGATATCAGAATGCACAAAGATATGCCTAAAATGTCACAAAAGAATTCAAATCACATCTAGTTACAAATTAGTTCAGATAAACAGTGTAAGCAGAGTACGATATCTCAAGCAGAAATGACAAGCACCACTGATTAGAGTATTTATATTGAGAAAGGGTTTCTGAGTTAGGTTTAATAGGTGAATTCTGATTATGGAGCCAGTGCAGTTAAACAGTAAAATGTTAACAACTTGTTGTTATTCTGTAAGCTACCAAGGTGCATATATAGATGGATTCAACTAATACATCAACAAAATAATGGCTATTGGGATGGAAGGGTGTGAAGGGAATGAGGAAGGTGGGAAGAGGACAGCTGCAAGAGTTCAGCGTCTAAACAGAGATCCCCTGAAAAGCATCTGGCTATGGTGGGTCCAGTGCAGGCTGAATAGTGAATTCTTTTTTGCTTCACAACAAAAGGAAAAAGGGGCCATGTGGCATCCTGGTTGATACCAGCTTACACTAGTTGGTGTGTGGGAGACAGTGGTTTCAGAGCTGTATCATCATCTCCTTTGTTTTCTCACTAGTTCATATGTAAGCAGTATAAAAATACCATCTTTAACCTTGGCTGAAGGTTTATGTTAATGTTTTTTTTTTCAGGTGGAACTTGCAGAAATTTGCACAAAGAGTGAACGTTATATTGGCACAGAAGGTGGAGGAATGGACCAGTCAATCTCTTTCCTGGCAGAAGAAGGAACTGTATGTGGATCTTTGTAATCTAAACTAACAACGTAATATTAATTTATGTTCACAAAAATACCGTCATATGTATCTGGCAGAAAGACAAGAAACTGGAATACCTCAGTATTGGTATGTGAATGAAACAGGAATTGTATAAACTTGTGTACAATGGAATATGACAAGTTTGAGAGAGTAAGGTGATGAAAATGAAAAAAGACAAGAAGGAGGAAAGAAAAGCTGTGGGGAAAGCTGTACTCAAGAAGACCACTAGGCTCCACACTATTTGGCTGATTGATCACTGAACTTAGAATGTTTGAGATGTAATGAAGTCTGAATGGTCGGTATGTCTTGTATTCAGTGCAAATGGGATAATTATTACAAAAATGCTTTCTTGAAATGTCTTATAACCAAGAAGTTCTAGGAAGTTTTGCCAGGTTCAGTTGCAAAGACAATGGGGATTTTTTTTCCCCAGTTTTGCTAATTCCAGACAATTCTGTGGCTGGATTCTGATGTAGAAGGCATTTAGCTGTCTTAAACGTGGTGACAGAAGGTGGACTAGCAATGATAAACAGGACCTGCCAAGTTATGCATGAGTGCTTGCAGTGGAATTTACCATGGAGTTCATCCACTGTCCCAGAAGGTGCACAGGACTGTGACTGTTCAAACCTAAAACTTGCCAAAATAATTGTATTGAAATCAGTGTAGCGTTTCATGACAACATTTACTTACTTTCCTTATAACTGTGCCATTCAACATCTACAGCTTTCATTCCTTAATGCCAGATCTTATATGAAATAAGCTATTTCCCAGATTTACACCAAACATTTAATTCTATCACGAGACATACGTTGTATTCAGTTTCACATCTCCTGTACCTACTTTAGACCTTTCCTTCGTACTTTATACTGTTAATAGTAGACACACAGCTACATAAAACCTGAAGGAAGCAGTGTGTTTTCCTGGCATACACAGAGTTGATCATAAAGTGGAGGCTTTTCTGATATATCGAGGTGGGGATCAAAAAGGCAAAGAAAATGTTAGAAAAGAAATTGTGAACACACCTGAAAGTGTCCTTGTTCCAGTATACTTGCAGCTGAATTACTTCTGGCCTCCCATCTGAAAAATAAAAGGAAAAGAATGTGAAAAGTACATTCAAGGACACTGAGCTTGATCAAAGCTGGTTTTTTATATGAGCATTGACTAAATAATTTAAAACTTTTCAGCTTGGAAAGCAAGTATCGTTGCAGGTGATATTCTGAAGCTCTATAAAACCCCTGAATGGTCAAGAGAAGGTAAATTGAGAATTCAGTGTTTTTCGTAGTGGAAGAACTAATAGAAACACAATGACATTAGCAAACAGCTTGTTAAAAACAAACAAGGAAGTTTGGGTTTTTTTTCCCCAAAAGCATTCATTGTTAAATTGGGAAATACTGTATATCATGGAAAGCAAAAGGGTTCAAAAAAGACCTTTCTGGATACTCTGGTAGAGTTCTAGCCTCTTTGTAGCTGCTAAACAGAAGTCTGATGTTTCTTCCAGTGTGAGTGTAACCACCATAATCTTTACTTATGGGAAGCTGGAAAAATATACCTCAAGAAAAAGATTGCTTTGTATCTGTCCCATTTTTATATTCCCCCTAAATATCCATTTATGGCTTCTGTCAGAAACAGGACACTTGACCAGCTTAGTGGTACATTCTGATCTAATGTAGCAATTCTTAAAGGGTATATTTAAATGTAAGCAAGCTTGTCTGTCTTGATAGTAGTTTTGTGACGTGGTCCAGAATCTCAGTGGCAGGGACTAACACACATGCTGTACATAATGTACAAGCGGATTTGTCATTGTTTATTTAGCACTCTAGCTGCTCAAGGAACTCTCTGGGGGTGAACAATGCCAAAACCAGTAAGACATCCGTGCTTGCAGAGTTACAGTCTATTCTAAGAAGCCAAAGCAGGGCACATGATTTACAATTTATCCCAATGAAAAACCAGATGTGAATTTAATCTCTTGATTACATTACATCCTGAAATATTTAATTAATGGATGCCTAGCTTATTCCATGAAAAGGTCGCAAATGTTGGGAACATCTTACGCAGCCATTGTAAGGCATCTGTGAGGCAAGGCAGTCTCATGTCAGAAGGAAGGAGACTAACTACAGTTTGCTATATAGTTTTATTTCACTTCTCTGTTTGACTGCCCATATGTAACATGATTACTGTCTCCAGTCAGTCTTAAAATTTTGGTACTGTACTGTACCTCAGTGGCCTAATCTTGATTTAGTGGAAAGCCAGAAAGCTAAGGGGAAGATGGACATTGGGAAAGGGAATGTGAAGCCCCGTGTTTCTAGTGGCATGCACATTAGCTTCAGCCAGGCCTGGTACTCTTCTGTAGATCAAAGAAAAACTGTTGTCTTGAACAGGCAAGAAAAATAGGTTGGGTGGGGTTCTGTGAAATGCTGAAAAAACCCAAAGACTTAATGGAAACATTTTAAAATCCAGCTACGAGGGGAAGGTTTGAAATGTATGTGTAACTTGGCCAGTGAGGTTAGAGCTCTTTTCTCACTGTTTCATGTCAGTTTTCTTGCCTTAACTGTCCCTGGATTCTCAAGAGAAAAAACATGCAAATTTGCATTTGATTTATAGAACTAAGTGCACTGTTAGCTAGTACTAAATTAAAACTAACCATTCATTTTTCTTTCAATAGGCCAAGTTGATAAAGTTCAGTCCTCTGAGGGCAACTGATGTTAGACTTCCAAGTGGAGCAGCGTTTGTTATTGCTAACAGTTGTGTTGAAATGAACAAAGCAGCAACTTCTCATTACAATATTAGGGTAATGGAGTGTCGTCTGGCTACAAAGGTAACATATGGTTTATGTCAAACTCTAATGAAACCTTCATCTAAAAAGCGCCTTTTTTCACTTCTGACCGATCATATCTTTAACACCTGGCTAGGTGCTACTTTAAGTAGCATTTTTCTTTCCAGAACCAGACATGTCCATCTCTGCAGAAACAGAACTCCTGCTGAGTTTAATGGAAGTGTAGAGACTGTGCCCTTATATAGAAGATTATGCAATTTAGCTCTATTAAATATATTTTGTATTATATGTCAATGGACAAAGTAAGTCTATTTTTCAGCAAAAAATATTCTCAGTTAAGAAGATAGACTGTTTCTAATTAAAGCTGAATAATGACAAATAATGGAAAGCAACCAGTGTGGTCACACGTTTATATATGGCAATAGATGTGTATTTTCTAGGATTTAGAAGACATCAAAGCTGCTAGTTGGAGGCCTGGAAGTAATATTGGAAATACTGAATAGCAGCATGTATGTCAGTGCAAACTTTAAAACCCGGCTTGAATCAAACCCCAACATTTAGATTGTGCTGCCAGTTTACAGCTTGCAATTAGCTCTAAAATGAACGGAATTTGAACATGAAAAATTTAAGTTCCACTTTATTCTGTAGATTCTGTAGACCATACTGTTAGGAATATGCAGATGTAGTGTTTATTTGAATTTGTTACAGGAATATGGTGGATTTTCCTTTGATTAGATTAAGTGAGGAGCAAGCATAAAGATTCAGTGCAGTTATACCCAAAATAGAACAGGATTGGGTCACAAAGTCTAGATTAAAGTTTTAAACACTGCAGCTTGGCACTCCTTGCCACAAAACACTTGGCCAAAATTGAAGCAATACTCAAAAGTACTTTGAGCATCTGGTGGCATCATAATTCTATGAAAAATTACTGGAGTTAATGCTAAAAGAAAAGAGTTAAGGTGCTCAGATACTGACAAAATGTAATATAAAATATCATGTTGAGGTATTTTTTGAGGATGGAAGCTAAACTTCAGATGACTTTTTAAATGGGCTTTAAGAACAAGTATAAAGAACGTAGCTGCATTGTAGGTGTATGTAAGATACAACACAAATAATAGCACCAGTGACCAGAGTTAAAGCTGTCACTGAAGTTCATAAAAAGATTCTTACACCATTAAGAAAGATAAGGACGTGTCTGTGTGTTGGTTCTGGTGTAACTGATAAGCCTCTAATTTAGGAGAGTTAATTGACTAAGTAGGTATTTTAGCAAGAGCTTCTTTTGGAAGTTTTTTTTTTACATAAGAACTACAGAGCCTTCACGGAAGATTTATTCTAAACAAAAAAGCAAACTAGAACAATACATGGAGCTGGAAAACGTTTTGAAGTATTGCTCCATAGGCCACACTTTGTGAATTGAATCAGTTTTCTAAATTGCTTGAAATGATTGGTTCCATGCAATAAACTGAAAAGGTGGTATGGAAAGATAATTGGTTTTTAACATTCCTGCTAGCTATGATGCAATCTCCAAAGAAGTGCCTTTAGCAGATGCTTGATTTTAAGGAAACTAACAACATACACCTGCCTATTTTTATACATATGCTACCCAGATGGAAAGCTGCACACACTATAAAAATACATTGAGCCAGGAAAAAACCCTCTGTTTAGGAACAGGTCACAGTGGGGTGAAAGAGGGCAGGTATGTAAGTGGAAGCAGGGAAGTTTTTTAAGCACCATTAAGTTAATGGAACTATGAAATAACCTGCTGGGCCTCGCAGTAATGCTTTAAAAGAAATTCTCATTGGTAAGTGGACTTTTTTCCCCTTTCTGCTTTAGGTCATTCTAGAATTTCATACTGTTTGCAGGAAGCTCCATGTAAGTAAAGATGCCAGCCAACACAACATATCCCTGCTGGCATTAATGTAGAATATTTTGATGTTACTCTGCCCTAGAGCAAGTAAGCTCTTGATCATCCTCACAGAATTATCTTTCTCCGGTTCTATTCCTTCCCCTTCCCTTCTGGATAATCATTCTTTTCATTATTAGGATTTGTTTCTTTCTCTGTTGTTGTAGCCTCCAAGTGCTTTCGTGTGCTTAAAGGAAACAGTGCGTTTAAAGACATTTATGTTCTGCAGAACACTCACTATTCCAAAGGAAATTAACTTGTACTTCAGAAAACTCTCACAGTAGGTGCTGCAGGATGAACACGAACATTAGCGAACGCTGTGCTCTCCCCTGCTTCACTGTGTGTGGTTCGCTTCACTGTCAGCTACAGAGTAGTGCCAAGAATGTCTGCAACTGCAATGCCATATTGTTAATCAACTTACGTTTGTTAAATGCAGAAAGATGCTCTTATGTAGAAATGTCAAGTGTAAGAAAGATGTTGCTATATAAGTATTCCTATACGTACTTCTAGTCAAATTTTATTTATATTTGTCCCATCATTTATGAGGCTTGTTTTCCTCTCAGCTACTAACAGTTCTACAGTGTGCCTGTGTTGAACAACAAAGCATACAGATGCTATATTCTGGCAGTTAAGAGCCAGCTGCATGATGTCCACGTCTTTAATCTACATGGTCAGAGATCATCAAGAAAATATCCATCTGTGGGATCAGTATTGGGATTACTCCTGTTCATTAAATAGATGGGATTTTTTCCCATTTCTGATCTGTGTCCATTACAATTTGAGCCACTGCAGCTAGACTGTTTTCACAAACCATTTCTGTTTGCCCGTAACACTTTTCCAGGTGCTGCTATAAGCAGGATAGACCTTTCCAGCTAAGCCCTGTCCACTGGCCTGATGGGGTCAGTTTCCATTTGGAACATTTGGCCTGTAAATGCCCAGCATAGTTACTTCATCTAAGATAACAGCATCTCCCTTGAAATACAGAAACAGGAACAGATGTGACAATACCTGTGACAGATTTCTACATGGGATTATTTATTTTAAGAAGTATAAAAATTTTTCTTGACTTATAAACCAGTTTATTTGTAAATTCTTAGTTATGTCTTACTACTGGTAATAATGTCTACAGGATGCTGAGTATTAGGATTAAAGTATGAGGAAAAAAAAAATCCATTCATTTAGCACCTTGAAGCAGATTTAAGAGCATGTCACAAACATGCATCAACATAAGAGATAGTATTTAAGTAAAACAAAAAAAGCTGTAATTGTTATTCTAACTTACCAGTAAGTAAGCTAAAATACAATTACATAAAGGCTATGGAAGTTACTCAAAGCCTTTAAAAAGCAGACCAGAAGTGACTTAAGCAGTCTTTACAAGAATATTTTCTCCCCCTGCTTTCTGCATTTGCCACTAGTGCTTCTTCCTCTACCACTGAATATACAAAACTGTGTTTTAGATGGCGACAGAGTCATATGATTAGGATTTTGATTGGATTTTGTTTGTTCTGCTCTAAGCCTCACATAAATCTTAGCAAGTCACTAGATGGCACCAAAAGTAGTTAATTTTTATATACTGTAGTAAAGCAAAACTGGAAGAGCTCCTTCAAAAGCACCATTGGAGGACAGCAGGAGAGTGAGAACCATAGCAGATAGTTGGGCAGCAGATCTTCTTAAGTTTCACGCTTTAACTTTGCACAAAGCCAAGCAAAACCTTTTCAGATGTGTAAATCACATGAGGTTTTTTAACCTAGGGAGTTAAGTAGCTTTGCTGAATTCAGATGTAAGTTATTTCAAACCAATCTCAAAACCAGTGTTTATTGGAAAGAATAACAAAACACACTGGATGAAATATTGGCCCTGTTGATGAGAGGTTTTAAAACCGCCTTGAACAGAAAAGGATTGCCTTCATGGGTATTAGTGCTCTGGTTTAAACTGTCTGCAATCATACAGCCTGATCTGGCACATTTGGAGGCTTTAATCTCAAACGGTGCGGAACTGGAGGTACGTCATGTGCCTATGAATACACTAAAACCACATTGGCCTATCTGGGTCTTACTTTGTAGTGATCTGTTACAATTAAAGGTGGATCCCACAATGACCACTTAATATGTAAGTCATAGCATTAAAAATATTCCACATTATGAGGAAAACTACTTTACTCAACCATTTTCATTAGGCACATGAGAGCATCAAGATATGGAACACCCTTCCAGAATAAAGCCTATTTGACATATTTCCTTTTAGGATTCTAGTGTGTTGAAGTAACTGCTGTCAATTGCCAAAACACCACAAATATACACAAAGCATAACATAGTTGTCTGGAGTGGGAAAAACAGATACAGCTATAACCAGTTGGCATCATAGCAATCACATAGGAACAGAGCAGACTCCAACTAACACATCATAACCTTCCTGCAAGGCTCACAACTTCCTTTAAGTTGGATGTTAAAAGAACGTACTCTAAAGACTGAGAAAAGCTACAGTTTATTCACACCCTTACAGCCTTAATCCCACACAAAACGTATGCCTGTTTTCATATTTTTAAGGCTATTATGAGAAAGGATTTTAATGACAACCTTGAATGTTCATCAGAAAACTCCAGGAGCATATTGGAAAGGTTGAACTGAGTTTTAAATGTTAGCGCAAACTCTTAACAGTACAGAAACAGACTTCGTAGGGACTTCTAGTGTTACAGTATCATAGCATTTGCATAAGCAATTGTCTGTGGTTGCAAAAGGTTTGTAAGTAAGTGCTCTGACATCCATGGAAAAGGATAAATCGCTGATTTGATACCACACAAATAATACCAAGTAGGGCTTTCACAGACAACACCTGATCTGGGAGAAGAATTTCTGTCATTCACAGACCTTTTATAAATAATGATTATCTGCTGTGTACTTACAGCAGGTAGCTTCTGATGGTTCCCAAGTAAGGAGTGAAAAGAGCAAATGGGTCTTAATGGTGCTGATGGACAATTAAATAAACAGGAAGGCTCAATATTTTCTTTTATTTTCTGAATTTTAGCTTCTTTCAAAGTCTAAAGGCTTGGACTGGGAAAAAACGTTGAGACTCCACGACGTGCAAACCAGGCTAGGAGTTAGCCTGGAGGAAATGCTGACCATTGTCGAGGAGGTATTACATCCTGAGCCTTACAGCACAGAGGAAATTTGTAAATGCCTGGGAATTAGCCTGGAGGAGCTCCGCTCTCAGATCCTGAGTCAAAACACGCAAGACGGTAAGCACATATGAAATGGTGGGGTTTAGTGCGCGACGTGTGTGTTACATAAAAAGTTTATGTATTAATAAGTAGTGCAAGCGGAAGTCTTGCCAGAATACTTCCCCAAAATTTTGGGTGGCCAGTGACAGAGACTTGACATCATGATTTTCATTCTAGTTTTTAACTTGGTGCAAAACTGGGATTTTGATTGAACTGTTTCTAAAATAGCAGAAGTAGCATCACTTACTGTTTCAGATGAGCCTGTGCTGACTGAGAGTTGTCTCTAAATAACCCAGGTTTTATTCTAGGGAAAGGTCTAAATTAGGCTTCCTTTTTTAGGTGATAGCTCTAATAGAGCCAAACATTTTGGATAGTTACAGCGTCGTTAAAATGACTCCTGTTTGTTCTCCCTTAACTGGTGTTAGAAACCAGCATAGATGGGCTTGTGTTTCTGTTTTTGAATTGATAACTACATGATCACTTCATAAGCCATGCTCTGGGTAGCAAGTCTCTCCTAGAGAGAGAAGTTCCTGTCACTCTCTGTATTGTTTCTTCTTTAAGAAAGACACTGGTGGAGATGAACAACTTACTATTTAAAAAGTATTTCCCATGGATTACTGCTTATGATTATACCATGCATTGGTATGGAATAATCATGAGCATTGGCACATGTGGAATGGATCCTGGATGCATATAGTAGGGTTGCTAAGATTACTGAATAATAGAGCATTTATGAAATAATTAATTTACATTCGCAACAGGTTTCCAGTTCTGACCAGAATCTTTCTTTAAGAATTTAAAATAACCCTTACTTCCTTGTTTCCATTCTGTAACCTTAATACCTCCACTGTTTTGCAGGTGAATTATATCCTTGCCAGTCCTTCCCAAGACCACTTTCAGGGACACATGTTTTTTGAAGCATATAAATCAGTAACATATCTATGTGTACTTGTGTTTATATTTAAATAATCTGTATATCTGGAACAATTGTAAACTACATATAGACCAAGACCAGGTCCTGAATCTAAAATGCATTTTGGATCTTGGTGGTATCAGAGAGTATCAAACTATCTTAATGGCCTAATTACACTGCCAGAGGGTACCAGGATAGAAAATGATGTCTTAATCCAGCCTTTTATCTCTGTAGAAAGAGTTACGGTAACTCTGTGCTGCATGTACATGAGGAATATACTGAACCATGTACCTGCATGCTGCAGTGTTTTCATGGGAAGCTACAAGGTTGTATATCTTTTACGCTGTCCCCTTACACTCCCCTTCACGAATCAGTGCGAGACTATTAACTTACAGTTGTTTATAATCCTTATACCTGGTTTATAAAACAAAATTCTACAGTTCTGTAGAATTGAATTGTTTATATAGGTGGGTTTTTTTGTTTTTTTCCCAAAACCCAAAGTCTGGATAAAAAATTTAAACATAAAAGCTATAGGAGAAACTCAAACGGAATTTCATACTGTGGCTCTGAATAGCATTTGCAGATGTTTGCTGAATGGAATTTCTTAAACCTGCATGACGCTGATTCCAGTTGATAAGACCAATTAAAATGGGTTATGCCAAAGTCTCTTTGCATGTACAATATAGAATTAAGTACCAGATTTCTGTAAAACTATATGCAAAAAAGAAACAAGACACAGAAAGGAGGACTCTAGATCCAGTGTTTTTGTTACACACCAAACCAATTACACGTTATGTTGTCTTTGGGAAACTAGAGGCTGTCTGACGAAAATATTTTTCCTATTTCCCCTCTACTTTCCCACTATATTTTAATGACAATGCCTGGCTGCTTCATGTGAGAGAAACATACTGACAACTAGAGAATCTCTGCAGAGAATTTCGGAATGCTGTTGAACCGCTTTGTTCAACATGAAGAAAGAACCATAACATTTAGAGTATCTTTCTTCCTTTGTATACCTTTTATCACCTTTTGTTACCATTTTATCAACTTTTCTGATAAAATATTATAACATTAAGGGTAAAGTGTTTGCATGAGAATTACTGTTTAGATGATTTACTGGATTCTCAGTGGCTGAATATAAATTGTCAGTAGGTTTAATTTTTTGTATTATTGAAAGCTCAATGATAGCTACAGATAATGTTTTGTACTGGTATTGTCTCACGTTTAAGGATCTGAAAATGCTACATAAATACTATTTTAGCCTTAAGTCTAGCTTCCCTTCGTCTATTCCTCCAGTCATGGTACTGTACACTTATATTTTATAAATGTATAAGGCTAAAACTCCCCATCCCAAGGAAAAATGGCATGGACAGGCTTTGGGTAAGTCTCAGGCCAGCTCTGTATCCCTTTTATAGACAAGTACTTGAGGATTTCTGCAGTTCCCTACTGTACAGGCCACTTGTTCCCCAGGTCTGGAGAAGTACAGATAGTGCATAAAGCCTCTCTAAACTTTGTGCAGTTGTTCCTTGGCCAACTCAAAATCCTGAGTTTCAATCTCCATTGAAAATGTTTACACATGGATTGCACTTGTGGCTTCTGAACATCTCTAGAAAAATAATATTTATTACTTTCTAAGGTGCACTGTGCCATAATTTTGGCTTGGACTTGAGTGCTTCACAGAACATTTAGTGTGTGGTGACTGTGGGACATTAAGTATTTATAAGCTTCACCGCAAAAGGATATTCTTCTGTAAAACACTGTATTCCTTTAACCATGAAGTGGTTTTTTTCCTTCTTAAATGAGATATTTTTAAACCCATTTTTCCTTTTCATGTATAAAACTGTAATCTAATTTTTGACATTTGAACCTGGGAATGAAATCGCCATGGGAGGAGCAGGCATCCATTTGCTGTGCGGATTTGGCTGTTTAACTGCTCTCCTATCTCTGCCCTGGAAAAAGAACTCTAAATCTCTGCTGTAGCCTCAGTGAGTGGTGCTTGAGTAGCCTTTCATTCCCACTGCCAAGTAATTTGTATTAATGGTGAGCTCAGGGCAAGAACAGTTTCCACTCTGTTTGCACAGACAGGCATACATGAAGGTGGACTCTCAAATGTTCTGTCAGGCTGCTCGGTGATACATAAAGCTCTGTTGTGTGCATTAGTAGAGTGTCCTTGTCTTACATAAACAGAAGTTACCTTCAAACTATTAGACCTTAGAGCACTTCCCAGCTTGAAGGTCTAGGTGCCTACTCCAGCCTCAACCATGCCCTTCCATAACAACATGGTTTACTAGGGATAAGCCCCAGAGAGGTGGCTGCTCTAAGCAGATCCCGTACAGCTACCTGAAGGCTGCCTGCCACAGGTGGGTGAGCCACAGGTTAGGCATAGGCACTGACTGGTTTAGGTTAGTTGCAAAAGTCTTGCTGGAGCTAGGATTCCTCTGGATGAAAAATCACTTTAAACCAGTAGTTACCATAATCTCAAAGCAGGTGTCTGCTAAATGGGTCACTGAATCCAGCAATGACTCGTCTCCTGGTTTATTTTCAGAAAGCCAGATTGCAAACAGTTACTTGAGCAGTCCCAGCAGAGTAACTGTTCCCCACTTCAAGTAGGGGGTTCACAATCTGGCTCAAATTAAAGCCATCTGGCAGCATTTTCTTATATACGTTATGAGCCAGAAACCTTCACCCTCATCATGTTCAATCAGCAGGATGCCTAACAGAGAAGGGTACTATTCCACATGAGTAATGGTGGTAGAAACTGTCCCCTACATGATTTTGCGTCGGTGAGTTTTTCCTGTTGTAAATTTCTAACAGTCCCATCAGCCATGTGTAGCTCATTAATCTACAGTGAAACACATCTTTAGCTGCCAAAGCAACTAGAAAACAAAATATATAGCCTGAAGAGGTTGGTCTTTAGCTAAAGGTCAGATAGAATTGTACAGGAAGCCTCTAAAGAAAGGAATCTGCTGAAGTTGAAGTTGTAACAAATAGTATGAGTTGCTGAGAAGCCACAATGCTTAATTATAAAGAAAAAAGTCCCTGTAAATGGAGTGGACAGGTTTGCACATTTTTTGTAAAGCTAAAATTAAAAATATGACCATACATTTGAAAACCCACAGTAAAACTTGTCTGTAATATTTAATTAACCCACAGTTACTTAGGACTAATGGCACAGGATTTTTGTTTGTTTTTGAGAGATTTTTATACAGATTTTGGACAAACTTTCATTAATTTTAGCCTGCTGTATCTTAGCAACTTGGAAAGCTCTTGCTACAATGTGAGCTATTAGGGCACTAGAAAATGTCACCGTTTCTTTTAAGGGCATGTGGTGGTTTGTAAGTGAACTGAATCTGCCTGTCTGTGGATGACATTACAGACCCTCTGCAGAACAGCAAAGCTAGGCAAAGGGTCAGCAAGAGTTACCGACATGCTCTGAAAAATAGGTGAGAACTGGTAATACAAAGCAGTTAACAGTGGAGGAGATTCCTTGTAGAAGATTCATTGTGTCCTCTTTGAAACTTCAGAAACACAGTTATTGAGGCTGTGACCTGGAAGGTGGATTAGATGCTCCTGAATAGAATCATAGAATCATAGAATAGTTAAGGTTGGAAAGGACCTTAAGATCATCTAGTTCCAACCCCCCTGCCATGGGCAGGGACACCTCACACTAAACCATCTCACCCAAGGCTTTGTCTAACCTGGCCTTGAACACTGCCAGGGATGGAGCATTCACAACCTCCCTGGGCAACCCATTCCAGTGCCTCACCACCCAAACAGGAAAGAATTTCCTCCTTATATCCAACCTAAACTTCCCCTGTTTAAGTTTTAACCCGTTACCCTTTGTCCTGTCACTACAGTCCCTAATGAAGAGTCCCTCCCCAACATCCCTATAGGCCCCCTTCAGATACTGGAAGGCTGCTCTGAGGTCACCACGCAGCCTTCTCTTCCCCAGGCTGAATACAGGTGAAACATGTTAAAACCCAGTGATATAATGTCAGTAAGAGCAGGTCCAGGTATAGGATTCCTTGTTCTCCTTAAAATTTTCTTTGGTCTCATTTTGACTTTTCAGGTTGACTTTAATTTCTTCTGATCTGTGTCTGTTTCAATCCATAAATGGTGTTACTCACTATCACTTGAGTACATAAGAAACTTTTTCTGTGTGCAGCTGATACCATACAAAATAAATTCCTATCTCCCTACCTTCTTTTGGGGAGGGGACAAAAGAGACCCTGAGATTCTGACTGTGTGTGTCTAGGTCTAAAGTTAAAGGGTTTATTCCTGCATGGCAGTGAGCTGTGCAGAACATGGCAGAGAGGAAATGCATAATGATTTTCAAAGAACAGTTTTTGAGAGCGTGATTCTGGTCAGAGACCAGATCCTAGCTAATACAACTCTCCACGAGTCCAAATAGCACTACATCATTTTAAACAAGCAGAGCACCTCCACTGGGTATCACATGGATCCACTTAGAGAGGAAACAATACTTCAGCCATGCCCTAGAACAACTGCTCTTACCTCAGTGTGGCAGCCAGCTACTTTCATTACACCAGAGCTTTTAGGTTCCTCTCTAATCACCAGAGCAATCTAGGTCTCATGAGGGATAAATGGTTCCCTAGTCTACCCTTTTCACTGACAGAAGATGGATTTGAGGGTACCTATACCCCCTAATTCAGAAATAAATTTAAGGGGGAGAAACCAAGCCTTTAAAGTTTACTGGATTAGGAAAGTATATTTTATTGCCCAGAGAAGCTGTGGCTACCCCATCCCTGGCAGTATTCAAGGCCAGGCTGGACAGGGCTTGGAGCAACCTGATCTAGTGAAACCAAAGTTTCAACCCCCAGGTGCCCATGGCAGGGAGTTGGAATTAGATGATCCCTAAGGTCCCTTCCAACCCAAACCATTCTTTGACTCACATTTTCAGATGGATTAAGTACCTAATTTACATACACTACAATAGGTTTAAGGATTGACATGCTTTTAAGAATCTGGCATTAGTTCCCTACACCCTGCTTTTTTCGCTCCTTTGAATACCACAGAGGGTTGACACCATATAACCCAGTCCTGTGCAACACTGGAAAGTTTACTTTGAGGGCTTCAGTTTGCTTCTTTCAGCGCACTCCTGCCCTAGCTCAGATATAAACTAATCAGTTGTGTGCACTTTGGTTTTGTTTCTTTTAACTGTGACAAAGTATGGCTTAAGAATTCAGTCCTTTTTACTTGTATGCTCTTTGGCATGTTCTATTAGTTCAGATTTTACTTATGTGGAGCTAATATACAGGCTGTGATGTAGCAAGGAGATTCCAATATAGGTGTAATTCTTGGAAATACAATGCTATCTTTTATTATATAGAGATGGTTAACTGGACTTCTCGTCCAAACAGAAGAGATAAAAGAAGGTTTTTCTATTACCAGAGACATTTAAGCATTGAAAGCCAAAAACATGTGAACCATTTCATTATTTTAGAATAGTACTTAGAGAGTACAGAGGTGTTTGCTGTCCTGACAGTAATTTTGCCTCAAGAGTCTACTGCCAGAGAGGAAAAGCTAGCTATAAAAAAGGCTTTTTAAACACAAATGGAATTTCCTGAAATAATACACAGCTGATAACCAACCAATAGCTAAGGTATGGATACCAGCCTTTAACTGATACATATTCGGTGAACATCCACAAAGGAGTCTGGAAATAACGTACAGCTTCACTTTCTTGCTCAAGAGCTGCCTGAAAGGATTGTTAGCCAGAGAAAGCTGGCGTCAAGGTAGCATGTTCTCCCCTCCACAGGGCGCTCTCCAGGGAGCTAGTGCCATCAAGGACATGGCTCAGATCTTCTGGCTCGCAGCCAGTCACTGGAGCGCCCTTTCGGGTTGCCAGTTCCCAGCATGACGAGCACAACACAACCCCAGCAGTTTTTAAGGTAATCTGGCCAGTGGAGCATTGCTTTACCAAAGGGTGGTCTCCGAATCAATCACAGCCTTTGGCAAGTCTGTTGCCTGACAATTGAAACCAGACATGTTTTCAGTTCATTCTTTGGGTTACTACTGTTCAATGGTGATTTACAAGAGAGTGTGAGCTATGGCAATCTCTCACGCAACGTTAGATATTCCCTAAACGAATGCACATTTAGAAATCTCCTTGCTCTAAAACAATGGCTTATAAGAAAAGAAAATTTAAAGAGAAACCATCCTTAAAAATAGGCCAAGCTGCCTTTCTTCAACATTCAAAAACAGCAAAGCGGTGCTCTGCAAAACAGAGTGCAAATGGCTGCAGCAGAAACACATTCAGTGGAGTAAAACAGACCTCTAAATGGGAACTGAAGTCTGCTCTTCCCGTGTGATACTCTCACGGCGATGTTTCTTGAGGGCACTCAGTTTTCCCTTTTCCGTCCTAGTTTGAAATGCACTCAGAAGGCCTGCTCAAAGACAGCAACACAGGGCTTCTCAGTAGCAGGCTGTATCAGATTACAAAATAAATATCACCAGTAGCAGAACACTGCTATGTTCAGTGTTTATCATTTTAGACTGCTTGTGTCTCAGCACTGTATTTTCAGCATTTACAGCTGTGAATTACACTTGATAATGGAGAAATAAAAAGGGATTATACAGGTGCTGATGAAGTTTTAGTTTTTGGGTTGCAGTCTGGAGTACACATATGAGAGACTTGGTACTGGACACAGTTTTATTTCCAGTGTCTCAAGGAAGATTTCTGCATACACTTGCAATTGTAGATTGCTGAAGTCATCAGAAGTGGTTCCAGAACTTTGCTGTCTCCACAAAGCAATCAAGTAGGAACTCCATGTGTCTGGGTCAGATCATGAGCTCTGTTTTGGATACAGGGCTCGTCTCTCTTCTTTTACCTCTATGCGAGTGTTTCATCTGCCATTTCAGAAAGCAAAAGAGAACAGAAACTGAAATGAGGAGAGAAACCTCGATCTAAAGGAGAATTTGTGTGTAGAAAGAAAATGAGAGATGCTCTGTGCTGTGATGAAATAAGGCAACATACTGCAATGGGTGTCCCCATAGAGAATAAAGCGCTCTTATCTAATATTTACGGCCCAAACAGCTCAAGCAAATCAATTTAATCATAAATTATGTCACACATGCTTCTGGTGAACAGTACTTCCTCAATAGTAGCCATGGTACTAAACCAAACAGAACTATATTGGGAGAACATAAACAATGAACTGCAACATGAGCTTGAGAAAGGCACATCAGTTCTTGGGTCACAAACCAAACCCTCCTGTAAATAGGAGCAGCTGGAGGAGCCTTTAACCACAGCCATCCCCTTCCTACTGTTCAGGCTTGGTGGAGGGGTCTCTACCCCTGATGGGCATGTAGGTTCAGGTACACCCTATGGTATCCCTATGCTCACTCTTCCCAGACGAATTACTTTTTCATGACACAACTGAAGTATTTTTGCCCAAATCCTTGCACTAGGATTTGATCTCAGCAGGTAAATACTAAGCAATACCTGTGCGGGCTCAACATCTCTTCACCTCCACACAGGCAGCGCTGACACTCCGGCTGGTAATACACACCAAAAATAAACCCTGAAAACCAACCTGAAAGCACCTGTGCTCTGCACTGTACCTGTAATCTCGTGTTATTTACAGTCAGGGTGAGCCTGCATCATTGTGAAAATATTTGAGAGGGCTTCCTTATGAATGCCCCAGGAAACAGGGATAATAGCAGTTTTGTTAACCTCGGCTTCAAGAAACAAAGAAAGAAGTGTTTGATGTTTCTGTGGTTTGGTGGTTGATTTTTCAAGAAAAGGTCCATTGGCACAGTTACATAATTGATGTAGACTTGGCCTGGAGCAGTCACACACAGCACCCTGGTGCTGGGGGCCTTTCTGGTGATCTCATGACTCAGTTTTGCTGGTATTTGGAAACCTGAAAGCTTTAGATTAATGCCCCAGTGCATGTCACTGCTAAGTCGAACTTGTGGCTTGCCTCTGCAAAATCAGAGGAGAGACTGGGTCTCTTTGATGATTCAGCAAGTAACACAAGCGTGTGCATGAAGTTATGAACATGCAAAAAAATGTGTACAGTGTATTTAGATGACCTCTAAAGGGCTTTGAAAGAAGATGTAGGTGAGCTTTTGCAGAAGACTTTCAGCCCAGAGAGTTCTAATATAGAGTACGAATTACTAAAAAAATACAATTCTGCTATGCTTTTGTATGTTCCTTTTGTAGAGAATATTAACGGATAACTGTGATACTTTGTGTTTTCATTTTGCTTAGTTTCCCCCTTTAAGTTGTACCAGCGTGCAAAGCATGTGTACAGCGAGGCTGCGAGAGTGCTGGAATTCAAGAAGATATGCAGCGAAGCACCTGCCAATGCGCTCCAGCTGCTGGGAGAATTAATGAATCAGAGCTATATCAGCTGCAGGGAGATGTATGAGTGCAGCTGTCCTGAACTGGATCGCCTGGTAGACATCTGCCTGTAAGTTCTGACCACAAGGAAGAGTAATCGCCTATTGAGAATATTGTTTGAACTGATGAGAAAACATGACATCGCTGGCTATTGCAATTTTAAAATGAAAGTATTCTTGTCTCTTATTACAAAATTAATCTCCTGCAGGGACATTACATGGTCAATTGTTTCCTTACTGACATGTGTGTAATATTTTCAGATGAAAGCTGCAGTTTATGGCTTTATTACAGACTCTGCTTTTGGGCTGACTCATCGTCACAAGTGTTACGTTAGACTGTTGGCTCTTCTTTTTTTAAGCTGTAGAAGTCATGACTGGTTTTCTTAAAACATTATCTTAGTTGTTCTATTTGAACACTGGTACTTTCGGGGTATTTCTTAACCATTTCAGAACTGTCACCATGGGAAGAGCAGAAACTGTTCCACATTCTGAGGTTGCCTTGAACTCATATTGTGAAATGCTATTGCATTTTTTTTCTATTAGAAACATACGTTGTCCAGGGTATCAGGTTGGACAGTATTTCACCATTCAAAAGGTGTATGAGCTGTTGTAATGGCCAACACTCTACTTCTGCTTTCCACATTGTGTGTCTGAGCTTTCCCCACATTATTCAGCCTCCACCTCTGCACAAACCTCATTCTTTTAGCTGGGTACCTTAACTCTGTTCATAGCAAAACAAGCCCTCTAAACTCCCAAACACATTCACTGGGTGTCATTTTCTCCCTTCTCTTCTGCCTGTATTCCTCCTCAGTTTCATATCCTCTAGCCAGAATCAGCTGAGTTTGAGAAATGGCATGAGGTGAGCTTGAAGTCACAGGTGGTTGTGTGTAGCTCCTCATGATTCCAGTTTCATACTTCAGCTTATCTGCTACAATTCCTGCTTCTCCTTGGAGAAGAGTGCACTTGGTTTAGGAAGCTCTGCCCCAAGCAAGAGCGTTACTGCCCTGCCAGAAGGGAAACACAGGGTGCCAGAAGTGTTTTCAGGCCTGAGGTCAAAAGACATTGTTTCACTGTCTTTTAGAAGCAAATATCCCATCCTCTATCTTTCAGTCTTGACCAAAACAGAAACTGTTTTGACTTGAAGCTGAAAAAAATGAATACCTTACCCCCTGAAAATGAAAGTTACAAAATACTCGTTCTTTACCAGCAACTGGCTTTTCTTTTTTTATAAACTATAAGTGTGGATTGTTATGAAAATAGGAATTTAACAATTATGCCATTTGCCATGTGCTTCTTACTTCTGTACTGCTGTGGATTTTGTAAGCTGTAACTCCCATTTACCAGGTTTGTAAATTGGTAAGAGTATGATACAAATGATTATTTAGGTTAGTCTGATTTCTTCAGCAGGCAAGACAGAATGGCCTCTGAGCCAGAAAACTACAAACTTAAAATCCAAACAGGAGACTTTTGGACATCTACAGATTATCTTGCGTATGGGAAACACATGCTGTTTCTAAGATAACACACAGAGGACCTCTGACAGCCATTGGACACCCTGATAGTAATTTAGCAATACAGGTTTTTTTCCTTCTCTTGGTAACCAATCCCATAGGTAACTCACAGGCTATGTTCAGCTTATTGTATCACATAATGATCACATAGCAGAACAAGCTATGATGGTCACTCAGCAGGGCAATTCCACCATGGTCATCCCAGCTACTGACTGCGTGTGAGAAGTGAGAACTGTCCCCACAGTCTCAGCTGAAGACAGAAACTATAGTCCACTGAATTATCAAAACTATTGGGCTACAAATTCGTGATCCAGTGCAAGGTATCAGCACTGCCTGTTCTGTGACACCACTGACAGAGGAAGAGCCTTGAAACTTCCCATCTGCGTTATTTTTAGGTACAGTAACTACCCAGTGTTGGGTGTTGTCAGTCAATAGCGCCTGGTGACTGACCTTTGCAGAAGTAACTAGTGTCTTCACTCAGGGTATCCAGCTTGAATCGCATTGATGGGGGCTGTTCTCAGATATGCTGGGAGAAAACTATCCTGTTCCAAATCAGGAGAAACAAGTAAAAAAAGGGGAGAACCGGTAAGATCTGCACTGCAGCATGGAGGTACCTGTGCTACATTGAAATAAAACTACCATGGATGCTAGCAACTGCCTATTGCAGCACGAAGCTCGACATGGAGATGGAAATTCTGTTTCTCATTTCTGCTGAGCTCTGTGCTTTCACGGCTAGACAGCTGCTGCTCTTGGAGCTAGCTTGGGTATCGTGACACTGGCTTGCAGGCAGTAGCATAGACCCAGCCACAGAACCCAAAAGAAAGGAGTACGCAGTTAGGATTTTACCAAATTAAATTAAAATTAATCAGAGCATTTCAGTTCCAGGGACCAAAATAGCGAAGGAAAAAAATTGATGCATTTGCCCATGTTACATCAGATTTGTAACTTACCAACAGAAGAGCCCACAGCTAGTATGATGGGCATAGCTAAGCACCACAGCAGTGTCATTTGTGTGAAATGATTTCTAACTGGCATATTAAAATTACTTAATCTGGGATTTTTTTTTATTACGTTCATTGCACAGAAACAAGTAAATTATTTGTTCATTATAATTTAGGCTTATTCCACCAAGAGAATTTCCACAGAAATGTATCTTTCTCCTTTAGAATTTTGATATCCTTCAGTGCTTTTCTGATTCTGTAAGTATGAGCTTAAGGTTCTTTCCAACCCTAACTATTCTGTGATTAACTCTCTAAAAGTGTATCGCTGTTCTAGATGAATACAGCTAAAGCCAGAATCTAACTTTTGGAGACTACTGGAAAAAGCCTTAATTTTTCTCAAGTTGTACATTAAAAAAAAGGACATACAATCACTAGTCACTCTAGGAAGGCTTGGCTGATGTGATTATAGAAATGGCCAGGAACTACATAAATTACATTCTTTACTTACGATGCTATACAGCTGCCCTGTAACTTTAAAAAGCCTTTCCAAAAATACATTCCACAGAATTGCCTGAGTCTACTGCTGCTCTCTCCTTACAAGGTTTAAACTGTGAAGAATAATCTGCATATCCAGATGTTTTCTGTTTTGCCTAGATCTTTATGTCTTACTCTACAACTTCTGCCAAGAAAGGGATCCATACTTGCTGTGGTTTGTAGTGCTGAAAACTGTAACCACGAGCTGGTCAGTTGTTTTTTTCCCTTTTGCAAAGACAGAAGACTTGTACTTTCTCTAACCTATGTCATGCTGTTAAAAGCTGTTTTACCTGTTAGACTTAAAGTAAGCAACACAAAAAATTTACAAAACAAATAAAGAACAAAAACTTGGATCTGAGCTCCTGAGCTCAGTAGATACTTCTGAAAATCCCTCAGAATCCTTGAGTGCTGCAGATGAGTTACTTTCATTCTCTTATTCTCCATCTTTTGGTGGTATAAATCCTGATAATTTTGGTGTTATCAGCCATCCCCCTTGCAGCTGAAGACGTGATCAGAGAGGATTTGGCTAAAAGATACAATTTTTACATTACATCAAATGCCTTATGGTAGCCAAAACACCTCTGCATTTTATCAAGACTCTTACCACTGATGATTCTCCTAGTACTGCAAAGCCTGCATTCATGGCACAGTGTGGAAATTCAACAAAACAAACAGAACACCCTACAGAAAGAAGCTGGCAGCTCTTTCAGAGCCGGAAAGGCCCAGAGACGCTATTCAAATGCACACTAAGCTCATTTACACACCACACCCCTTTCCTTGTAAGATAATTCTCTGTTTATCCAGTGAATACTGGGAGCTGAGTGCCTCAGACTTCTGGGCTACAGACATGTTCTCTTCCTCACATGCTCTGACTCTTCCTCCATTACTTATCCGGACGGCTGCAGCACAGCCCAGGCAGTGCACAGGGCACTTCCTCACATGTTAAATCCACATCATCTGCTGAGTGGGGGAGCACTCCATCCACAAGATTATTGTCCGTTCATATTCCTCTTCATAAACACATGATTTGGATGCTAGTGAACAAGAAGAGTTGGCTCTCAAATCCCACTTCACCAGAGGGGTCTAGCATAGGACTGAACTGATGAAGACTTGAAAGAGAATTTCAGGCCTGTTCCAAAGTTAACTTCCTTGTGTTTGATGTTTAACATTGCACCCATGAACCACATCTCCACTTGACGTGGAATGAGGTGCTCCCTTCTGAACTCATGTGGTATCAGATACCTGGGTTTCAGATGTTGCAGCACTGCCCATCAAAACACCAAGTTCCTCAGCATTAAGCCCCAAGTGTCTCATCACATCCCCACATTTGAAACTGTTAGCCACAGTATTTTGAAACACAGTGACTTCAGCTCTGAGACAGGCATATTTTCTGTCTACATTATGTTTTATTTCAGCTAAGTATTTTAAAATGACTCAGTAAAAATGAGGCATGAGCATGACCACAGAGAATTATGAAATCAATAAAAGGTTCAGAAAAATTCTGAAGGGATTTCAGTTGCCTACCAAAATAAAAGCCAGACACTATCTGCAATACAAAGTTCTGATTGAGGTAACAGACCAAGTGAGTACAGACAGTTGATTCAGCTAACTCTGGAAAGTGGATTGGGCCTTATGAGGTCGATGGGAATTTCCCTATTGATTGCAATCAAGACTGAATTGGCTCCTGCACATTTTAGGAGGTTGCTCCATTGACCAGAAACTACAAAAATTGCATCAGAGGATGAGTGGCTTACAGGAATAACAATAAGTAAAATAAAACACCAACAGGAAATAAAGAATGAACATAAAATCGAGTCAATATGAAGGGTGGCACCACACAGACACACTGAAGAAAGTGTTTCTGTTCAAGAAGAGATGCAAGCATGTTGAGAATCAAGCACATATGTAAGTACTTGCTTGAAATATGACCTAAACCTCTATTAACCCAGCAGTATACCAGATTCATTTAACATAAAATGCACATATGAAAAACCACCACAGCCTACTCAGAATGAGCTGTCATTTTCCAGTGTTACTCAAATGATGCTGTCTCCCCTCTAACACATTTGAAGACTGGTAAATCTCCGTGCCTGGCTATTGGAAATGTATCAAAAGTATCTGTTTGCAAATCAGATTAGATCTCTCCTGCAAATAAGGTTTTAAATGAGTTTTCTAAGTCATCCTGTTCTGACTGAGTTAAAAAAGCCCCAAAGAAGGTTATTACACAGTATTTTCCTACTTTTTCTTAATTTAGGTAAAGTTCAGGAACACAGATAAGCAAACTAATGAAATTCCACTACATGATACTGAGAGGGTACCTGAATCTTGCAGAGTAATGGTGTGGGGTTTGCTGTAGAACACTCCTAGCAGGCCAGCATCTTCAGGCTGGGAATGGTTTATATTTTGGATGTCATTTATTTGTCATTGTTCTTTCTATTCACCCTCCTCAGTAAGAGCTTTTTTTTTTGTCTTTTGGAACTAAACTTGTTTTACCTCTACTGCTGAAAATCTGTGAAGTTCATGAGGTTCCTCTGGAGAGAGAAGCCCAGCTCTGTCCATTGGGCATGAACAGATGTTTGAGTGCAATGGCTCTGTAGGACTTTTGAAGGGTTTCTGAACTCTCCTTTTCTTGACTGGCATGCTCGGCAGCCTTGTAGAAGCCTGTGAATCTTCAGCGTGTTTTAGATCTGTCCTGGAAGAATAGAGCTATTTGTCTTTGCCACATTAGAAAATGGCTTGCATGCCTACATCCTGTGCAATTAGTTTATGAACCCTCTTTTGTTATTTTTGTCATGTATTTCTGTTTTCACTTCTGATGCCTTATGAATGTTGCTAACGCAATTCCTTTCTTCTCCTGCTTTCTTCATCTTGGCTGTGCTGTGATCCTCCAAACAGCTGATGCTGAAGCATTATAAAAGAGGGTGACTCCCAGAATTGACAGAAATGACTAATGACGATAGTACAGTTTAAAGAGTCAGCATGGGTTTTTTTCCTCCAAAATGGTAACTTCAAATTGCTGTAATGTCACATATAACCAAGTATACTTCAGAAAAATCAGATGATGTAGATGTGTTTTAAGTATGCACGTTTCCTATAGGGATTTGCTATATGACAAATTACCCCTTTATGGTTTATTTTACACGATTTTTTTTCTTCTTGTTATTTCATTTTAGGCAATCTGGGGCCATTGGGTCACGTCTGACTGGAGCTGGATGGGGTGGCTGCACTGTGTCAATGGTGCCTACTGACAAGCTGAACGCTTTCCTAAAAGATGTAAAAAAAGCTTATTACCAAAGTGATGTCCAAAGGTTAGCACTGGAGAACAGTCTGTTTGCCACCAAACCTGGAAGAGGAGCTTTGGTTTTTGTTGAGGCCTGAAGAACGTAGAAACTCTGAAAGCATGTAGGGCATTTGGAACTGGCAGTACTTCCCATGCCACAGCAAATGAATGCTTTTGCTAGTTTTTATTGTAACGAGCAGTTTCTATTATCAAAGTATATTCCTAAAGAAGCTATTAAACAAACACTCTTTGATTATGAAGTCTTTTCTTTTTTCTTCCATACTAAAACTATCTTTCAGTATAAACTTTGATTTGCCAAAACCTATTGATAAGGAAAACTGAAACTGAAATAAAGATGATATTTGGTTACAGTGGATCTCTTCTCCATTTACTGTCACAAAAGTAAGACCAGGGGGAGCAATGAGCTTTTTCATTGCAGGGCAGGAGCCCTGCAACGCCTGCAGGCCTGTGCGGTGCTAATTCTCTTTGGGTGCCGGGTATTCTTTTGTTCAGAGGCCTGTAAAAATGGAAGATTAAACTGAAGCATTCAAAAAACTGGGAGGACTTTGCTAAACATGAGAAGTTTTATACTCTCCTCAAATAGGATTATTAATGTTGCAATTAAGTATAATACTGGAAGAACACCTACAGGCCAAGGAAAACATTAGGAATACATTATTCTAAGCGAGAAAACTTTCCTTCCAGCTACATGTCTGACGTATCTTTGTGCAAGGGTGACTTGTTAGGAAAGTTTCAACAAAAACAAATGCTGTGAACTGTGCAGGATGAGAACATATTCCCCTAAGTGAATGAACAAATAATGAGGTGGAGTTTGCTTTTGAGTTCTCCAGACACAGTGTTCTGATGGTTGCGCCCTAGCTGTGCTTGTACAGGGTAGAGCATTTGCATTTTCATGAAGAATTTACAAAGGACTAATATAACCCACTGAGGATCTAAAGAAGCAACTAAAATCAGTAAGGAATAATTAAGGAGATAATTCAGTTGCACCAAGCAAAAGTAAATAGGCAAGACCAAGAGCAAATGTCATTGACACGTTACTGACAAGTCTCAATCCCACTTCACACTCCTTAATCTCAAGGTTGTAGCTGCAGAGCACTGGAATTCAGTGCCTGCAATTCATGACACATCTCTTCAGCAGGGGGAATGATGGTGATTACAGAAAGGTGACTGTACCTCAAGATACCCAGCAATGCCCAAACCCTGTTTCCAAGGGGAAGGTTAGGGACCTGTGCCCTCTCCCACAGCCAAACAATTTCCACTTCTCTGATATCCAACATGAAAACCAAAGAGAAGTTGTACGAGTGTCACAACCCTTGCAGTCATTAAAGACACAGCAAAATTTGTCCCTCTGCACATTTTTGTGATGCTAAGCACAAGCTAATGTTCAGAAGTCTGCATCAAATTAGAGATCTCTCAGCAGAGATCTTCTGTACATTACCCACGCTCATACCGGCCAAAACCAAATTCTTAGAGGCTACTAATTCTGCAAGAGGACTCTGCCAAATCTGAGCACAGCAGATGAACAACAGCCAACACAAACTGCCAGATCTTTTCAGGAACCTCAGAGGGGACATGTAATGGCAACACTATCACTAGAGAAGATTCCTGTTGTCTGACAGCCAGGAAAAGTGGAACAGTGAGTGCTGTAGATAAGCAAATCAAGTCCTCAGGAGAGGAAAAGTATAGGGTCTAGGCATAGACACAGGGAGAGATGAGAAGGATTTGGAGGGGAGACAGTTAAAGGATGCATTTGAGAAGGGGAAAGCAAAGGATAAGCAAGACAGTTAAGAACAAGAGGTGTAATTATAGGAAGGTTTACTCTCAGATCATTCATTATTGCTATCTGTGGAAACTCAACATCTTGTGACCCTTTTGTAACGTATAGTAGATATGCCGCAAGTTCAAATAAACCTGTAATCACAGAACTCTAACAAAATCAAACAAGAAGAAGTAAATATTTTCAACAATCTCAAAGATAACATTAGAGATTGTAAGTAAAATAATGCCATGGTTTTGTTACAAATGGCCTTATTAAATATAATCTTCAGCTTAATTGAGTTCCTGTTTATTACCAGAACACACAGCCATGGAATCTTCCCCAGCACATGCAGGCTGCAGTACCTTTCCGAATTTTTCTGTCAATAAATGTTATAAATAGATAATTCTCATACACAAAGAAAAGGAAAACAGAAAACTGGCACAGTGTAAAAGAATCATACAGAACATTCTAAATGTCTGATTAATTTCTTTCCTTTTTTATTGCTTGAATGCCTTCAATGTCTCTTGTATTGCTTCAATTAAATGAATCTGTGTTAGTTTTTTGTTTGGTTGGTTTGTTTGCTTTTTAAACCTTTGAAGAAGTTTTCTACATAATGGTAAAATCCCTGATAATCAGAGCATGAGAAAAACACACCAACAGTGTGTAAGGTAAGCAGCAAGGCTATTAGTAGTACTCCTAACAATAAAGCAAGATGACCTTGGTTTGGATGAAAACTTCTGTGTGTAAAGCAGGAACTCCTAAGTGTATTTCCTGAGGTAGTCTTTGCAGATCTGTATTTTTAATAGCTTTCTCTAACTATATTTTCAAACTTTCTTCTGTAGCTAAAATAATGCTAATTGGTATATAGAACCATAGATAGCATTGTTTAGGTTGGAAAAGACCTTTAAGATCATTAAGCCCAACCACTAACCCAGCACTGCCAAGTCCACAACTAAACCATGTCCCTAAGCATCACATCTACATAATCTTTTATGTATCTTCAATACTTCCAGGGATGGCGACTTTACCACTTCCCTGGGCAGCCTGTTCCAATGCTTGACAGCGCTTCTGGTGAGGAAATGTTTCCTAATCTCCAGTCTAAACCTCCCCTGGCACAAGCTGAGGCCATTTCCTCTTCACTTGTTACTTGGGAGAACAGAACAACACTCCCCTCACTACAGCCTTCTTCCAGGTAGTTGTAGAAAGCAACAAAGTCTCACCTAAGCCTCCTTTCTCCAGACTCAACACCCCCAGTTTTCCCTCAGGTGCTCCTCAAGAGAATTCTTCTCTAGACCCTTCACCAGCTTCACTGTCCTCTGAACACAGTCCAGCATCTTCGTGCCTTTCTTGGAGCGAGGGGCCCTTGTTACTTCTCCGAGAATCAAAAGCTCTTACCATTTTGTGATTGCTATGCCCAAGACAGCCTCCAGCCATCACGACACCCACAAGCCCTTCTCTGTTCATAAAGAACAGGTCCCATCCCTAGTTGGCTCTCTTGCCAGCAATGTCAGGGGTTCTCTGGCATGCTTCAGGAACCTCCTGGACTGTTTCCCCACTGCTGTATTGTATTTCCAGCAGGCAGCTGGTAAAGTGAAGTCCCCCATGAGAGCACGGGCTAGCGATTGAGAGACTTCTCCCAGCTGCTTATAGAATATTTCATCTGCCTCGTCATCCTGGTTGGGTGGTCTGTGACAGCCCCACCATGATACCTGCCTTGTCGGCCTTCCCCTGATTCTTATGCATAACTCAATCCTATCATCATCTTCATTGAGCTCCAGACAGCCAAAACACTCCCTAATACACAGTGCAGACCCACCGCTTCTCCCTCCTTGCCTATCCCTCCACAAAAGTTTACAGCCATCCATTGCAGCACATGCACACACATGTATATTTGGAAAACTAACAACATTAAATGTCAGAACATATGCAGAGGCAATGCATCCAGTCAGCATGACCTATTATCATCAGTGGAGTGTGATTTTATCTTACTATAATGTCTGATCGTAAGTCATTCAATCATGATTTTAATCTTATTGTGCAGTAAATGGGTTCTAAATCTTTCCAAAAGGTATTTGGAATGGAGATACTGTTAGACATCTAAGTGCAGCAACATCGCCTGGTGCCATATTAATACTCTGTATTATCTTAATCCCATTGACATGTAGTCTTCATCACTGTACTTGATGACTGTGTATCTTGTACGCAGGAACATGCTCATACTCCAAAATAGAATGAGAGTAATTTTACCATTCACCTGACAGAAGAGGATCACTACTGTATATTTGACATTTGCTGTCTTGGACACAGTGCACATACACACACAGACACACACATATGGCAACCTAATATATAGTAGTTACTTACATAACATCTTCAGGAATATGGGTTTCTCATTCATATGATCTGAATGCCAGATTTTATTTTAGTAACTGCTGTGCACTTACTCAGTATAAACCTTCTGAAATTCCTCTCTGAGTCCATGTGTCTCTTCAATAACATTTTGATATGTTGGAGCAACTGCTGTGCCACAGATCCAGGCAAGTGAAAGATTTGTGTCTTCAGCTAACTACAGTTTATTTGTGTCCTAAATCCCAATCAGATACAGTTAAACAAAGATAGATGCAGAGTAAGATTCACAAAAAGCTATCTAGGTGGTTCTAAAAAAACGATACTTTGTAAACCATAGCTGTTATGGGCAGGACTGAATTAGTGCTTTCTGAGTCTTGTGATTGTATGCTTCATCCAGAAAAATGAACTCTGTAAAATGACTTACACTGCAAAGTAACAATAGCATGAAAACAGACTGGTAAGGCTTAACATTGTGAAACCTGTGAATCATGCCTCATATGAAATTATATTTTAAATGCTAATTTCGAGATGGAAGGCTAGCTATTGGTAACAGACCAGTTCACAATGTAGAAAGGAGCACACTGGGGAACATAAAACTGTAACTGAAAATCACTCCCTGTGATACAGCCTTGTTTGACAGATTTTTCCCAGCGCACACAAGATTGGCAGAGGAAGCGCTGCCAAGCAATATTGCTGTCAATCTGTCCTACCTCAGCTCTTCAGTTTGGCCAGCTTTTTCATTGAGCACTCTTCTGATAGTCAATATCCCATAAAATAGAGACAAAAGATTAATTCTGTTCTTGATCTTATCTCTTATTCTCTGCCCTCTGCTTTTAGACTTGTGTCAGAAGTAATTAACTATGAGATTCTGCAAGATACCACATCATAGCCTCCAAAAACAAAACCGTGTTTACCAGGAGACAGAATCTGCCAAGGTGCTGATGGTGGAGAGAACCTAACCTCCTCTGTAATCTCTCATACTTCAGTAGGACTGCAATACTCAGTCTAACTAAGGTAGTGGGACCAAGCTGTAATTAATGAACAGCTTTTGGAGCCCCTACATCCTCTGCAGATTTGGTCACCAAGTTGATCAGAACACGGAGTTACCTTGAGTGAGAGTTTGCACATAAA